AGTTTACTTCTGTGGTCCTCTGTATCCATAACACCTTTTATATATATATATATTATATATATATATATATTAATATAATATAGTATATATATATATATTATTATATATATATATATATATATATATATATATATATATTATATCATAATAAAATAGTCAATGTTTGTTTACAGTATGTTCTTGTTTCGCTTCAGATTAAATCAAAGATAAATTATTTTGATAAGTAATAACGGTAATTATCCTGTCACTTGTATCAATTTCGGCCCGATAACAAGGTGCCGTATATTTTTACTGATCTACGGCACTTGATTACGTGGTGTGCATGTTAACCGGACTACTTTTCAAATATAAAAACTGTCGTCAAATCTTCTGTGTGTAGAATAACGAATTTTGGAAATGTTGATAAAACTTTGTTTGTTTATTTTATTTCACTCTATAATTTTTCAAGCGAAATAAAAATTATTAAAAGTGAAATAAATGTAAAACTTAACTCGTTTTCGACATTAAAATAGCGTACTTGATCTGATTGTTTTGCACGTGCTGTTTGGCGCTACATTGTGACGTCACGTAAACAATACTTTAAACGTCTGTACAGCGTTAACGACTGAAAAAAAGATATTGATGTTCGAATTCATTTTCTTAGTTAAACCATTTTCTTTCATTCTAGATAGTTTTCACAACATAATTCGACAAAAAATTGTATTTATTTATCACATTTTTCAAACAAAATGGCGCCCTTAATGTGAAAATACGCAGGGAGATAATAAGAACGGCAAGTGCATTGTTGTAGAATAATGCACACTTCGGGCCTTTTTTGTTTATATTATATAGAAACATTTCCGATACTGTGAACAAAGGTAGTTTGCCTAATAAAATTTCTTAAAAAAACGGTGACAGGATAAATAGAATAATAGATTGGTGCCGTGGATGGAGAAAGTTGATCTGGCTCTTCTCCGGAATTTATTGGGTTCGCCTGAGGCTCACCCAATAAATTCCTCCGCCTCGCCAGATAAACTTTCTACATCCACGGCACCAACCTATTATTCTCTATTTCTAACACTATCGGAAAGAAAGCCCGAAGCGTGCATTATTCTACAACAATGCACTCGCCGTTCTTATTATCGCCCTATGTATTTTCACATTGAGGGCGCCATTTTGTTTGAGAAATCTGATAAATTAAAACAATTTTTGTCGAATTTTGGTTTGAAAGCTATCTAGAATGAAAGAAAATGGTGTAACTAAGAAAATTAATCCGAACACCAATATCTTTAATTCAGTCGTTAACACTGTACAGAGTGTTGTTTACGTGACGTCACAATGTAGCGCCAAACAGCACGTGCAAAACAATCAACATCAAGTACGCTATTTAAATGCCGCAAACGAGTTTTACATTTATTACACTTTTAATAATTTGTATTTCGCTTGGAAAATAATGGAAATAAAATAAACAAACAAAGTTTTATCAACGTTATTCTCAAAATGTTTCTACACACGGTAGATTTAACGACATTTTTTTCAACTCACTGGAACAGCCTTTAAAGAACGTTTCTATTGGAAACTCTGAGGCGAAAACAAATTTAACCACCTAACATAAAGTCCAACTTTATAATAATAATTATATTTTTTCTTGGCGTGTTAGAATGGAAATAGATATTAATTCTTCGTGCATTATTGTATATTCTAACAAACCCGCATTTTTCCCTATTGAACATAGAAGAACCGAAAGTGTGTGTTATTTAAGAAATAACATCGCCCTGAGAGGTGTATATCGGCTATTTAACACCGGTTTGGAGTTTTGATGCGTAGGAATTGACCATGAAGGCCGTAGGCCTGAGTGGTTAATTTTTACGCATCAAAACGACAAAACCGGTGTTAAATAGCCGGTATACACCTCTCAGGCCGATGTAATTTCGATTCTATCACGATAAAATAAGGAAGATCACTAATGTTATTTTTTCAAGCGGAAATAACTTCCGGTGCCGATTTTCGTATAACGCTGTTCGATTTTTGCACCCTACTGTTGCAAAGATAAGGACATTATTAAACAAAATAAATAATAAGAAAAAAAACGTAATTGTATCAAGTTTCCAACAATAAAAACCTACGTCGTATTGTGTTTACATCAGTGCCCCATTTATCATTCTTGTATGTATGAAATAACGTCAGCTTGTTTATGAATGATTTGTTTACTTACGATGACGTCATTACGTTGCTTACGGATTGGCGCCGTTTTGTCAAAATATTTATTAACTGATATGGATCAAATATGTGGCGTTAGTGTATGTGAGATATAATTTCGGTATGGTATGAAAAGAAAACATTATAAGAACTGAAAATATAAATAAAAATGCTTTTTATTGTTGCTTTAAAAGGCTTTGTAAACTATATAATCGAGGGTGAAAACATAAAAGCCGCATATACAAGTAGTCCCTAACCAGTGTTTATTGTCAGTTTAACACCGGTTTTTTTCCTTCTTTGTGTATAGTGACAAAATCACGTGGAGTGATAGAATATGCTATAAAATCACTGTTTGACGTTCTATATTTAGACATGTGACGTAATCATTATACAAGTGACGTAACCACTAAAAATGTGACACGCTGACCATAAGTACGGAAACAAATCAGGCGCAATTAAGCTAGTTATAATGTACGGCAGCATTTATTTGTTGATGTCGTGTAAGAATCGAAATAATATATCCAAATCGGTGATTTTATTGCTATATAGAGAATAACATGCTAAGTACTGTCTTTTGATATCAATTTTATCAGGCGAGGCTGATATGGGCTAGAAAAGGCGAGGCTTGCCGAGCCCTTTCTGCCCATATCAGCCGAGCCTGATAAAATTGATATCAAAAGACAGTAGCATGTTTTTCTATTTATCATGTATTACATAATAACTGTCAAAATAACAAAATAATCTACTTTTAAATAGCGAATTTCTTTAAAAAGGGGGAATTTTGTTCAAAGAAAAAATTCTTGAAAACAAATTCCCCCGCCCCTGAAAATTAAAATTTGTAAATGGCCGCCATTTTTTCTTTCGACTCGGATAAAAGATGCAAAAGACTGTAGGCCTAATACGATAAAATTCTTAACTTTAATTTAAACATTGATCCAAAAATTCACTTAGAATCACATAAACTAAACTTTTGTGCAATATTTAATCTTGAATTGTCAAATTCAAAAGTTCATCATAGAAAAGTCAAATCGGCAATCAAACACAAGCTACACAAACATGCGTCTTATTTTTTAAACAAAACAATTTGTTCACTTATTAAATAATAATCAGGCGAAATTATTAAGTAAACAGAACTTTACAAATTTTCAAAGAAAATCGTCCAGCCTGTTTGTTATGATTACATGTATAGTACATGATGTCATTTGCAATATAAATTATGACGTCACTTCATTTGGTTTGCTATCTAATTTATTCGTAATTGAAATCGAAATAATTAATAAATAGATATCGCATCTTGATTCAAGACTTGTAAGGGTATGAGATTACATGTACATTGTAGAATTTAAATGCTAATGAAATTAAGAATATAAGCAATTGAAAAAAGTCCGTTAAAATGGGCGGGGCTTATTTTTGATATCAGGTTACTGACCTGATATCAAAAATAATTATCAGGCAAGTGTTATCGGGCAGTTACCATAGCAGTTGCATGATAAATAACATTACTGTTTGGAGTTCGGATGCGCATCATTATATCACTCGGGCTACGCCCTCGTGATATAATTCCCCGCATCCGAACTCCAAACAGTGATGTTATTGAGCAATAAAATCACAGTTTGGGATGTATTATTTCTTAAATAATGCACGTTTTTCGTTCAATGCTTTGTAATTAATCACTCAGGCCTATCGGCCTTCGTGATTATATTACTACGCATTTGAACTCAAACAGTGCATTATTCTACAACAATGCACTCAGAATTGATATCTATCTCCTAATTATCACACACCCGTGCCGATTTTGCGACTCCGTAAATATGGTATTGCACGGCCGTGCGTGACGTCATTAGCGTTATACAAACATAGTGTAAAGACGCGCTAAATGTTAGCGTTATATTATAGGCGCGTCAATGAAAAATGACTCTTTTTTCACTTTAACGGTCTCTTTTTGGGTATGTGATAAATAGAATATTAATTCGTGTAAGTTCATTGCTGCATTTATTGCACTCGTTGAATAAAATAATATTATGCTCGCATAATATAATTTTATTCAACTCGTGCAATAAATTCAGTATTGAACTTACACTCATTCATTATCCTCTATTCTATACATATATTTTATGATGTTTATTGTTATTTTGCGGGGTGGGGTGAGGAATTCCTTAATCTGGTAGAATGGCGAAGGTTAATTTTATAAAGTACTCAAATTTTGAATGTGAATATCCCCTGAACTGCACTTTAAATAAAATGTTATTTTGTACATAAAACTAAAACGAACATTGTATTGCTGTGGTGTTTAAATAATGACAATATGGAGGATATTGCCTCCCAAAGCATAGTCGCCTAAATAAGATTTTTTTACATGCACAGACGCTTAGAAAGATAACTAGAAATATTTGAAGATTTCTATTTGGGATGGACGCTTCAACATATCAAATCAAAGTCGCAACTTGGAAGGACTCCTGGTAACAATAGATTTTAATCTTTACTTGTTAAAGAATACCAGACTAGTTCTCAGGAACCATGAAACCTTCCAAAACAAAAGCATCACTTGTGGCGTACATACAATATAATAACTTACATGTTATAAGCTTGAGCTGATGAAATATAATTAAACGTTCTCTTGCTATATTGAGTGTGCGCTATTGCTTAATCAGATATTTACAATCTTTATTCCTTCAACAAAAGACAGCCGTAATAGGGCTTTATACACAATCTTAGTGATAGTAACGACTGAAAGCGTAACATTTAGCATCAACATAAATATTTACTACATGTATTATTATTTCTTCATAAGCATTTTACAGCTATGGAAAACAACAGAGAAATTCTAGTTTTTCACTTTTATTACACAATGTCACATAATTACAAATCTCTAGAAATGAGATCTAAAATTAAAAAAGTACCTTTTAATACAAGGAATTCCAATTTTTAAGTCAAACATGATAAAATGTTGTTAATCAAGCAAAGAAATAATATCCGATGATGATGACATATATGTTTAGCAAATTTCGGTTTTATTTATTTGTTTAAAATGTTCCATTAAGACTTAAAACTATTCCACTCTGCACAGCAATCAAACAAGAGGACACAATCTTATTTACAACAAACACTGATTTTCTTCCCCTAACAAAAACTATTTCTTAAGTATGTTACCAAATAAATTTCTCCCCAACATGCTACACAACCTATTCATGTTCATCTATGTGGGACAACAATCTAGTTATAAGCTGCCTTGAAGGTGCCTGTTGTAAAATCACAATCCACACATTGAATGTATGTTACAGTAAGTCCTTTAAAATCTTGTATAAAACATAACGGTGTAGCATTCCATGATGTTAAATCATGATGAGATATGATCAATGAAAAATGATGAAACAACTGTTTATGTGATGTTGTTCAAACAGTAATGTATGAATGATGATAGAAATGATGATTTAATATGGTCCACCGCCACTGTAAAATACAGAAACATTTCATAAAATACCTTCACTATAAACTTTATCTGTATTAATTATCAAGATCAAACAAAACCAAAATGAACAAAAAATTAAAGGGAACAGAGAATTATTTCAGAAATTGCTTTTTTAGGTAGAATTGTGCATGTGAAAAAAAAATATCATAAAAAAATGAAATAGATGTGACATATAAATATGACTGAATAAACTAGAACTGCCACTGTCATGGCGTGAATACCCCCACATACCACTTTGTCAGACTCCACAGTGGCCATTTAGAGCTCAAGGACAACGTCTCTGCCAAATCTGAGCCAGGGCATTCTAAGTTATGTATTCTACATGCTTCAAATGTGAAAATGTCAAAATCAATACACTGTGGACAGCCATTCTTAAGCAATTGAGGGAAAAATTTAGTTGACATTTGACCCAGTACCCTCAAAATCAAAAGGGGTAATCATGACTAACCTCCATGCCAAATATGAAGACTGTGGGTCAAAGGAATCTTAAGTAATTGGGTTGACAAGCTTTTTATAGTCAAGGCCCCTTTGACCTTGACCTTTGACCCAGTGTCCAAAAAATCAATAGGGGTCATCTCCTAATCATGACTAACCTCCATGCCAAATATGAAGACTGTGGGTCAAAGGTATCTTAATTTATTTGGCTGTCAAACTTTTTAAAGTCAAAGTCCCTGTGACCTTAAACCGGTAATCTCAAAATCAATAGGGGTCATCTACTAATTATGACTAGCCTCCATGCCAAATATGAAGACTGTGGGTCAAAGGAATCTTAAGTTATTGGGCGGACAAGCTTTTTGAATTCAAGGCCGCTGTGACCTTGACCGTTGACCTGGTGACCTCAAAATCAATAGGGGTCATCTACTATACAAGACTAGCCTCCAAGCCAAATATGAAGACTGTGGGTCAAAGAAATCAAAAGTAATGGGGCGGACAAGCTTTTTGAAGTCAAAGCCCCTGTGACATTGACCTTTGACCTGGTGACTTCAAAATCAATAGGGGTCATCTACTCGTCATGACTAACCTGCATGCCAAATATGAAGACTGTGGGTCAAATAAATCTTAAATTATTGGGCGGACAAGCTTTCTGAGGTCAAGGCCACTTAGACCTTGACCTTTGACCTGGTGACCTTGAAATCAAAAGAGGTTATCTACTTGTCATGACTAACCTGCATGCCAAATATTAAGACTGTGGGTCAAAGGAATCTTAAGTTATTGGACGGACAAGCTTTTTGAATTCAAGGCGGCTGTGACCTTGACCTGGTGTCCTCAAAATCAATGGGGGTCACCTAATCGTCATGACTAACCTTCATGCCAAATATAAAGATTGTGGGTCAAAGGAATCTTAAGTTATTGGGCGGACAAGCTTTTTGAAGTCAAGGCCACTGTGACCTTGACCTTTGACCTCAAAATCAATAGGGGTCATCTACTTGTCATGACTAACCTCCATGCCAAGTATGAAGACTGTGGGTCAAAGGAATCTTAAGTTATTGGGCGGACAAGCTTTTTGAAGTCAAGGCCCCTGTGACCTTGACCTTTGACCTGGTGACATCTAAATCAACAGGGGTCATCTTCTCGTCATGACTAAATTCCATGCCAAATATGAAGACTGTGGATCAAAGGAATCTTTAGTTATTGGGCGGACAAGAAAAAACCGACGGACGGACGGCCGGACAGCCGGACGGACAAGCTGATTCCAGAATACCCCCCTAACAACTTTGTTGTGCGGGGGTATAAAAAGAAACAAAAGGCTATCAACTACTGTTTTGTAACTGGGTTTAAATTTTTTGAAAATTTAGCTAACACTTAAGTAAAGGCAAACTTTTAGATTTACTTGTGGGGTAATTACAGTGTACCTCTCAGAATAATTAAAGGTTCGAGGGAAAACCTTAATAGCTCCTCTCTATTATAACGTAGCTAGATAAGTATTCTGTATCAGATTAACTTACCGTCCACCACCGTAACCGCCACCACCGCCACGTCCTCCTCTATCTCCACCACGTCCTCCTCTATCACCGCCACGACCACCACCAAATCCACCACGACCTCCTGGAAATAACAAGTCAATCATGAAACAGGTTATTTATCACTGACATAGCTCAGGTTTTAATACTTTTGTTTCCCATTTATATTTTAATTGACATAACACAGTTTTTCAAAATTCTGGTTTTTCTTTATAATATGTACGTTTTATGTTGTTTTTAAGTAAAAAATCTTCTAGGACAATTTTAATGTAAAGATTTTACACACTTGTCCAGCACAATAAGTGGCTCTGAATATATTTCTTGATCCCTGGGAGGGTCTTGACAGACTACATGAATATGTAGGTTGGGCTGGCCAGTAGAATAAATATTTTATTTCTGATACCATTCAACGAGTAACAAATGATCATTAAATTAAAGCATACCTCTATCTCTGTCAAATCCACCACGATCACCGCCGCCTCCTCGGCCACCACCAAATCCACCACCACCTCCGCGACCTCTACCACCCCCACCACGACCTGAAATATAGCACAATGATCAATGTCCATAGTTTTCTCTCATATAAAAGTAACATGAAGCAATTTCCTAAAATATCTCCCAATGTCCTGTACAAATTGGTGGTACTAAGGATTTTTTTGGCGGTTCCATAAATTTCCAGAACGCGTAATTAAATCTTGTATACGTAATTTCATCCAAGGGTATATAGTTAATGAACAGGTGGAAGTCAATAGATGTTTACATTTTGCCATGATTCCTTTATGTATAATTAACTTGGCATGAGACATCAAATACATGTATGGCATAAGGAAATTTGTATAAATATCAATCACAAATTACCTGTTTTGTTCAATTTATAGAGTGTGCCGTCTTTTTATATTTTAAGCAAATTTATATTTTTATCCTAAACATTTTCCAACTGTTGGCCAATCACCATTACAAGTATAAAGTCAATTCAGCTTAAGTTGACAATAAAAATTCACCATGTCACTTTAATAACTTTTTATTACCTGGAGCACATTGTTCTGTTTGGTTTTGGGTAATGAGCACATTTTAAAGGTCATATGGTAACTTTCCAGCTTTACTGGTGGAGAAAGGCCCGAGTAGAACCACTTCTGTAACCTAGATAGATAACATCCTCACATGAAAGAAAATAAAATCCCTTACAGGATAGGATTCAAACAGAGCAGTTGGGTGAAAGTAATTTAAGTGAGCAACTTTAATTAAAATTCTACTGGGAGCAGCGCTTAATGACAAATAAATGCTTGTCATAAAGTATAACAATCACCTTGGGGGAAATGCTCAAATTAAGAATAATGAAAGGCTTTCAATTCTCTAGAATATTTACAAACAAGTCTGCTACAAGCACATCAAAGAATAAAGTTCTTACCAAAGTCACCACTGTCACCACCAGCACCATCTGGTCTAGGTGTGTTACAGAGATTACAGGCATTCCTCCAACCAAAGTTGTTGTTACCACAATCTTCATTAGGGCAGTTCCAATCTCCTTGACGACTTCCACCACCATCATGTCCACCTCCTATAACATTTAATTTACAAATACATTTCTTTTATATTGTATGTATTATATAAAACAAATCTGATAAAATATCAATACCTCATGCAAATGATTCTCACACTTGTTTGAAAAAAGCTGATTATTCAATTGAAAAAAAGGAATGATTATGTTTACTCACATTCAGGTGTTGTGTATCATTTTAAATACAAGAAAAATATACATTGGTGTAATTCTAATTTTTCTATGTTCAACTAACAAGTCAGAAATCTTTGTCTATTCCCGATAAACATTCTTCCTAATACCAAA